AACTGATTTTCTTGGGAAGTCCTGGATATACCAAGGCCAACTTCATGGGTGGACCAATGGTGCAGTCGTACAGGGTCCTGCCTTGGTTTAATGCTCTACTATCACCACCTTGAAAAACCTAATAATTTTTTGAAAAGGTGCTTTGCAAGTTCTGATGATCTTGAACATACCATAAGCCTCTCTCCTAGCACCCAAATAAAGTAGAAACAGCATGATCTTTGGAGTCTGACAGACTCGTTTAAGTGAGCCTCAACTTCATCTATAAGATAGCATGCTATCTCAGACTTGATTGACAACTACATGAGATCAGGTGTTTACCATGATTCATACCTAGAAGGTCCATAAATAATAGTTCTGAATTATCCCATTTTACCTTGTTTAGAGCTATATCTTTATACAGTCTCCTTTTCTTCTCAGCATGAGTCTTAATAGAAGCAGCAATTCATTTGAACAAGTATCTATTGTAAGTGAGAGTTGGGCTACTTGTGTGTTCATTTCCTTACTTACCATTTCTCCCATTATAATCACACTGTATCCTCCACCACCCCCTCAAGGACCCTTGATGATCTTCTTGCGGCTAAACCATCTTCAAGTATTATATTAGTTGACATCTCTTCAGCATATGACGATTCTGGTCATGTGTATCTTCTGTAGCACCCCACCATTTTCTTCCCCTACCTCTTTGGCTGTTCCTTCTCAGTGTCAATTGCCAGTCAAATGCTGTTCTCAGCTACCTTTCCAAGGACTTGTTGTTCTCATTCTACATACATCTGACGGGTGAGCTCATCATTTCTCATACCTTCAATTTCCATTTATATATTTTTTTAAGATTTATTTATTTAAGTAATCTCTACACCCAACATGGGGCTTGAACCCACAACCCTGAGATCAAGAGCCATATGCTGAGCCAGCCAGCCCCCCCCCCCCAATTTCCATTTGTATGCTGGTGACTCCTGCTATGAATATATAATTGTTAGGATGTTTTAGCAGCAAGAAACAGAAAATTCACCACTGATTTTATCAATAACAAAGGGAATTAACTGAATTGTGTGACAGTGAAAGATGAAGCCACTCCTGCCCAGGTTGCCACATCAGCAAACCATAACTAAGATAACTTTCAGGGCAGCCCAGGTGGCTCAGGGGTTTAGCGCTGCCTTCAGCCCAGGGCCTGATCCTGGAGACTTGGGATCGAGTCCCTTGTCAGGCTCCCTGCATGGAGCCTGCTTCTCCCTCTGCCTCTCTCTCTCTCTCTCTCTCCATGACTCTCATGAATAAATAAATAAAATCTAAAAAAAAAAAAACTTTCACTTTTCTATAAATGCTCTGCTCACCAGAGTGCAGTATATCCAGCCAGCCAATCCCCAACTTCCAAGAATCTGTAATGATTCAGATATGCAACTCTAGCCAATCAATTTAAGCCTAATATTCTTCCTTTATTCCCCCGATTAACCTGCTAGCCTTATAAGGAAATCCCTGACCCCCTAGCCAATCATTCCTTTTTTCCTCATTGTTGCTTCAAACACTATAAAACTTGCTCTTGCCCAAACATCCCTCAGGAAGAGTACTCCACTGCTTGTGGGGCATGGCATTTCCCCAATCCATGGATGTTTTCCAAATAAAGAACATCAAACTCGTTGCTAAATTGTTTTGTTTTTATCTTTTAACAATAGTGAAGAGGGGTGGTGTTCAGGCATGGTTCATCAGGAACCTAGTTGTTCTTCTGTGATTCTCTTCCTCTATATAACGTCCTTTAACTTGACAATTCGTAGAATACTGATTCACAAAGCATTGTCATATATTTGAGAAAACTTCTTTCCCAAAAGCCTGCAGCAAAATTTTTCCTGCTTTTTACTGGTCTTGAATGGGTCACATGCCCATATGCCCATTCTTGAACTCATCATCCCAGTGGCTGAGGGCATATGGTGACTTCTTGATTGGTTAAAGCCTGCTAACCTTTAAATCAATCACTGCAGTAATCACCAATTAGTCTTAAACTAGACCTCTGAAGAGAGGGTCAGTTCTCCAAACTAGATGGCTGCTATTAAAAAAGGTACAGATGATAGGGCACCTGGGTGGCTCAGTGGTTGAGCATCTGCTTTTAGCTCAGGTCATGATCCCAGGATCCTGGGATCAAGTCCCAAATTAGGGTCCCTAGAGGGAGCCTGCTTCTAGCTCTGCTTCTTTTTCTATGTCTCTTGTGAATAAATAAATAAATAAATAAATAAATAAATAAATAAATAAATAAATAAATAAATAAATAAAATCTTTAAAAAATAAAGAGAGGGATGAAATAAGAATGTCAAGGCAACCACAGCATACATCAGATTTTATTCAGTAGAAAGGGACTCAAAATAAATTTTTGATACAGTTATGCTAAATACCTGAGAGGCTAGTTTGTAGATACTACAGGTCCTAAAATCTCCAGGAAATCATAATCAAAACAGTTATAAGACGGGTGCCTGCATGGCACAATCAGCTGAGCATTTCACTTGTGGTTTCCACTCATGACCTCAGGGTCCTAATCTCAGGATTGTGAGATTGAGCCCTTAGTCCAGCTCCATGGTCAGTACGGAGTCTGCTTGGGACTCTCCCTCTCCCTATGCCCCACCCACTCTTGCTGTCACACCCTTGCTCCCTCTCTCTAAAATACGTAAATCAATCTTTGAAGGAAAAAATAGTTCTAGGAATTGTGATATGATGCACCCATCTTTGACCTTTAAAATAATTGGCTAGAAATAAATAGGGCTTTGTCATCTTACTTCATTATATAATTATTTTCTTAAAAACAAAAGCTCTGATGACTTCCTTTGACTACTGAGAAGAATTCTGGCACCTAAAGCTGAACATCTCATAATAACAGGGCAATGATCTGTATTTTCCTAGTCTTGAAGAATCAAGTAATCAGTGGGAAAACCCCCAAGGTACAGTTGTACAGCACTCAACAGTAGGAAAGACCATGAAGTCCTACCCTTATCTGTTCTGTCGAGCTCTCTATGGTTTTCCAAGGTCTAATAGGCTCCCAGAACAGCAGATGACTCTTCTCAAAAATGTTACTGTATTAATAAGTAAATGTATGTATCATCACGGCTACTCAATCTCTTCTTTCAAAGCAAACCAGCACAATTAGCAGATCTATAGTTCCAGGCCTACATTTTCCATAGATACTTCAAAAGCCACAAGGCTGACATTTAAATACTCTCCTCTTCAAAAAAAACTCCTGCAATCCTCTTAGTGCAATAAATGGCACCACCATATGCAACCTAATTCTCTGAACCCTAGAAGTTAGTCTTGACCATTCACTTTCCCTCACCCCCACCAACCTCTGAATCCTATCAGTTCTACTTCCATTACCTCTTGAATTTGTCTATTGCACTGCGATTACTTTAGCTTAAGCTATCATCAAAAGACTCCTCTCTGGTCTTCACCTGTGACATCTACAGTTCTTTTAACATGTAACAGCTAGAGTTCTTTTCTAAAACTCATTTTTCCCATGCATGCCCTATCCTTGCTTAAAACCTACCTATGACTCCACCCAAAGTCCTCCAGACAAAGCCTAAATTGTTTAACATAACACAGGTCATCAGGCCCCATTTTGGCTTTCTGATCAGAAGAGGACACACCACCAGCCAGCCAAATCCTGCCTACAGCCTGTTTTAATGTAGTTTGCAATGTAAAGCTTTTACGTTTTTAAATGGTTGCAAAACCAAAACATGAATAATATTTCATGACAGTGAACACTACATGAAATCCAAACCTCAATGTCCATAAAAAAAAAAAAAAAACTTTATTGGAACACAGCTCCACCCATTCATACTATCTATGGCTTCTTTTGAGCTTCAAATTGAGTAGCTGTGACCAAGACAGTATGATCCACAAAACCCTATAATATTTACTCTCTGAAAAAAAAAAAAATATTTACTCTCTGGCCCTTTATAGAAAAAGTTTGGCAGCCTCTGCTCCAGATTCATCTCCCAGCACTCCCCATTGGAGCCACCACCTTAAACTGTCTGTAGTCCCTGAGACCACAGTTTTCTCTGAACTGCCCCCCTTACTCATGCATGGGTGTTTGCACAGAACTAACTGTATCTTAGCATTTAACAGTTATTCTCAATGCTCTTCTATTGGTCTGCTGCATGTGTTCACCACTGACCCCTCAGCACCAGCACGATCTCTACCCTCCTTCCGTGCTTGATAAATGTGTATAGACCGAAGAAGGAGTAGCATCCTGAAAAGAGGAACAAAACCGGGTTTCAACTTCCAGGAGCTTACAAAAGGCAGACAGACACATAAACAACAAATTAATCCACCAGGAAGAATGCAAAACACTACAAAGTCGCCGGTACTCCGCAGCATCACTAACCAAAGAGAAATAATTCCACCTGGGGAAGAGTGCCCCTTCTTCAGAATCCTTTCTGATTTGAACAGATTCCCCCTCCCCGCCCCCCACGATGACATCCTTACTGAGCCTTTTTTGTTGGCATGCAGTGTCCTCATCTGTAACATAAGGCTAAATAATTCCGACTTCGCAGGATTAAATGAATGTAGTTAAGAACTGGAGAGCACGTAGCTCAGATCATGCCTCAGAGAAAGTACTCGGGAAGCCGCGGTCAGTCCTGTTTGCTCTAAAAGTCTCCGTTTCACGTTAATGGAGTCCACGATGCAAGGGGGGGGTGTCTCCGGTGCGCGCCCCCAAATGCACGGAGCGGCAGCAATCCCATCCCTGCAGAGCGAGCAGCGACCTCCGAGCAGAACGCCGCCGCAGGTGGCCCCGCCTAGGCTGCGCGCTGGGCTCCGCCCCTAAACGGAGCCGCGAGGCGGGAGAACTACAACTCCCGTCGTGCCTCACCGAGGTTAGGGCTGCTCTGCATTTTATCACCTTCCCTTCTCTCCTTGCCCTCCGTAGTCACGAGCGAGGCTGCGTCCCGGTCGCCGGAAGAAGCCGTGTGACGTCACGAGGGCCTACGCGTCGCGCCGGGGGCCGGAGTTGACGGACGGTCTCTGGCTGCTTTGGGGCGGCCCGGGGACCGCGGAAGAGGCTCCCCGGGGCGGCCGCGATGCCCAGCTCGCGGCGGGTCAGTCAGCTCCTGGATCTGTGAGTCCACCCGGTCCCCGCCTTCCCCCCCGCCCCGCCGCAGCCGAGCGCTGGGCTCGCCCTCCCTCCCTCCCTCCCGCCCGCTCCCGCACCCCTGCACCTCGGAGAAAGGCCGGGCTGGTGTTTCTGTTCCTGGGGGCCTGATTTGTTGGTTGTCTTTTCGTAGAGGCCCGTCGTGCCAGGTGGGCTGCTGGGCAGGTGGGTCTCGGCAGCTCCGCGCCCAGCAGTTCTGGCAGCGGCCTGTTTCCGACGGGAGCTTGAAAGCCTTGGCGGAACAAGACAGAACCCTACACGTGGGTTCGCGTAACTGGGATAGATAGCGATTTTTCGAGGCGGCGCCCCACCTTGCTCGCGGGGTTGCGAGGGCTGGCCCTTCGCCCGCTGGGTAACCATGGAGACAGTACTGGACGCACCGAATCCGCGAAGCGCCAGAGCCTCTCCCGTAGAGTTGCAGTGAGGAATGCGTTTAATAGGTGCAGAGCCCTTAGAGGGATGCCTGGTGTCAAAGGAAATTTCAAGGAAGCTTTGCCTGATAAATCTATGATAGTGAGGGAGAAACGAGAATCTCAGGGTTTATGTCGTTGAAGGATGACTTACAAACGGAACGACCAGGTGGTTCAACCTTCACAGTGATTGGTTATCACAAGGCCTGGTTACTAACAGTTTAAAGACCTGCAGGGGGTTGGTTAAAAGTGATTGTCTTACACTGTTTTAACAGGGAGACGATTTAAGTCTTATGCCGGTTATCAGATTATGATTATGATCGTGATGATTATCAGAGGAACTTAGCGAGAAATACAACCTGTTAAATTCGCTCATGTTCATGAAATAAAATGTCACCTAACGGGTTGGGGAATTTTCAAGCATGATCTCCCATTTTATTTCACCAAAAAAAAAAAAAAAAAAAAAAAACTCCCCCCCCCCCCTTTTGGTCATTCCCTCAGCAAGCTGAAAGTGGGAGCCAATATACTGTTACTTTCACTCCCACTAGTGATGTAGTCACTGGGTTGCACGGTCGTGTAGTTGCATAGTCATCGTAGACATGGGCAGTGGGATTACGGAGTTCCTTGAGTTGTGCAGTCCTGACGGGTGTCATTTAGTGCGTGAGTGGCTGCTGAAAGGCATTTAAAATTCTCAAGAGGATACCACGCACCAGTGTTAGAAGGTCGGAGAGGTAAAGTACCCTCCAGACCGAGGAGGCGCTCTGAAGCTGAAAAATAAAGCCACTCCATACTGTTTACACAGACCTTTTATTCAGGGTAACTATTGACAAGGGGGAGCCAGTGGATAGATGATCCAGGTGCTATGCACCTGTTCTCCACCCAATCCAAACCTTAGGCTATAGCTTTTATAGTGCAAGGGGCATTGTGGTGAGGTCAAACGGTGGTTATCTAAAGAGGCCCCATCTATGCACCAGTCATCTATCCTACTTATCTAAAGTGGCGCCTTTTGTGCACCAGTCTGGCCTACTAGTTATCTAAAGTGCGCCTTCTGTGTGCCACTTGAGGGAAGATCAGCACAAGCCTTCCTGCGTTCTGGTCAGGGCACACATTAACGTTCAAGAGGCCTGGAACATGTAGCCCTGAGGAGGTCATTGCATCAGCATAAACAAAACGGAGGGCCAAAGATGGAGTCAGTGTTGTCAGCACTCCTACAACTAGTGAGGTTAATATGATGTCTAAGAGGAAAATAACAGACAAGGATTGAAAAATTATTGGGAGCAGAGATTCCCAGGAGCTAAGATTTAACCATCTAAGTAAACCAGTGGTGGGGATCCCTGGGTGGCTCAGCAGTTTAGCGCCTGCCTTTGGCCTGGGGGGTGATCCTGGAGTCCCCGGATCGAGTCCTGCATCAAGCTCCATGCCTCTACCTGTGTCTCTGCCTCTCTCTCTCTCTCTCTCTCATGAGTAAATAAAATCTGGGACGCCTGGGTGGCTCAGCGGTTAGGCTTCTGCCTTTGGCTCAGGGCATGATCTCACATCGGGATCGAGTCCCAATCGGGCTCTGTGCAAGGAGCCTGCCTCTCCCTCTGTGTCTCTGCCTCTCTGTCTGTGTCTCTCATGAATAAATAAATAAGTAATTTTTTAAAAAAATGAATAAATAAAATCTTTTAAATAAATAAACCAGTGGAAGAAGCATCACCCATTTGATGAAAGATTGACATCTGATCTTTAAGATCTTTTTTTTTTAAGACTTTATTTATTCATGAGAGACACAGAGAGAAGGCAGAGACAGAGGCAGAAGGAGAAGCAGGGGATGAAACCGGCTCCCCATGGGGAGCCCGATGTGGGACTCAATCCCAAAACTCTGGGATCACACCCTGAGCCACCCAGGCGCCCCTGATCCTTAAGATCTTTTAAACTGGGGTAGTAACTCCTAATTTATTAACATGGTAATTAAAAAAAAAAAACAGCATATGCATCTCCTTGTTAAGCAGTTAGGGTATCTAAGGCTGTGCGATTGTCTAATATAACTCTGGCTAGAGAGTTTCTAGATTTTTGCTGTAATTGTAGGGATTTTGCAGAAGAGATCTTTCCTAAAAAGATTTAAAAGCGATCTTTTTTGGTGTCTTTTCCATTAAGTTAAGTCTTTAAGTTTTAATGTCTTCTTTGGAATGATCACAGAAAGTTTATTAGACCTGGTGGAAAATAATTTTTAATATTGCGTTAGTGCCTTACACTATTGGATCATGTTATGATTACTTAGGATGAACGTGAGAATGTCTTATTTCGTGAGTGTTACATATGAGCTTCCACCTAAGTTGGGCCTCTATAAGGTATGAGCAATCAGGCATTTCTATGGAAACAAAAGAAATATAAAAATTAATCATTGGAGCAAATTACAAACTCAGTTTCTGAGTCTAGAGAGCAGCCAGTAAAGAAAATTCCTAGATTTGAGCTCAAAATACCTATAGATAGTAGAGGGAGGATGGCAGTTTCAATCTGTTAGATTTTCCTGGTTTGCAGTTTGAATGACTTTGATGATGTCATTAGGTGTTCCGGTGAACGCTATGAGTGGCCTGTATAGAAACAGGCAGGAAGATTGTACATGATCTGTCATGGTGATCTCTCTGAAGTTTATATCAAGTTGTCTGGCTTTAGGTTGTAGGGCTTGGGTTAAAGGGCAATGTTAGTTTTTATACAGAAGGGTAAGAGACAATCGGAAATGTTAGTTTGGAAAGTTGTAGCCAGATGTTGGAGGAAACTAGAAGAATTCAGGATCTATTACAGTTTACAGATAGATAACAAAATCTCAAAGATAATGAACAGGACTAGAATCTGCTACAGGTATGCTATAGTTTTCTATTGAAACATAATTTTTCTCTCCATAGTCACTTCGTTTTTGTTTTTGTTTTTTTTTTTTAAGATTTTATTTATTCATGAGAGACAGAGAGAGAGAGGCAGAGACACAGGCAGTGGGAGAAGAAGGCTCAATGCAGGGAGCCTGACGTGGGACTCGACCCTCCGGGTCTCCAGGATCACACCCTGGGCTGAAGGCGGCACCAAACTACTGAGCCACCGGGGCTGCCCAGTCACTTCGTTTTTACCAAAGATGATCACAATAAGACTGTTTGTAAAATAAGTCTAGTCTCATTACATTTAGCTTGTTATTTATAGAAGTGCAGCAGAATAGTGATTTTATGCACATTTTCAAATATGATATTCCAGTCCAAGCTTTGGTACTTCAAACGGTTTTATTGGCTCTACAAATCAAACCTTAGTTTCCTAAAAACTGTCTGGTAATAAATCTCAGATTAGATCTTTAAACACCCCTTCAGGGCAAGAAGCCAAGCCAAGGATTTATCCAATTACATCCTGTTACGAAGAGAATAAATTTTTATTGAATTTATGCAAATACCTACACTGCCATAAAAATGAGTATACTCAATAAGGGATTTTGTTGTTGTTGTTTTGTTTTGTCTTTAATTCTGAAAGGATCAGCAGAAAGAAAATGATAAATGTTTAATTTTAGTTTACAAAAGGTTACCAAATTGTGAAAAGCATATATATATATATATATATATATATATATATATATATATATATGCCTCTCTCTATATATATACATACATATATATACACACATACATATGTATAGATATAGATATATAGATATGTTTTTTTGAGAGAGAGAGAGTGAGAGAGACAAAGAGGGGAAAGGTGGGAGGGAGAGAGAGAATCTTAAGCAGGCTCCATGCCCAACACAGAGCTCGGTATCAGGCTGGATCTCACAACCCTGAGATCGTGACCTGAGCTGAAATCAAGAGCTGGACACTTAATTCACTGTGCACCTCAGGAACTTATCTATCTATCTGTCTATCTGTCTATCTACCTACCTACCTATCTATATATAGTGTCTTAAAAGAAAGGAGTAAAGGGGTACTTTAAATTTGGAAAGCAAAACATTCTAGAACCAAAAATGTTGCAAATAATGTCATAAAAATTGTAATCATCTCTATTAGTTGATTTAGTCCCATGTAATCAATTCTTGTTTTCTTGCTCTTGGTTTAGCAGTTTTATGAATCCATCAGTTTCTACATAGCATGCCAGGAATTCTTACCTAGTTAAGTGGTATGATCTTAAAGTTAGCAGAAACTTGTATTCTAGACTACTTGTCAGTGTCTTTTCCATGAACCTCCTTGAAAACAAAGCATTTTGGCTTGTAGTTGATTGTAAATGTTTTCATAGAAGAATTCACTGTAAAACAGTAACTGGGAATGACAAAAGACTTAAAAATAGCCATGGTTAAAGAGTTCACTATTTTAAAAAAATGATGTGATTGACAGGTAAGTTTGGCTATTCTTGTGGCATACAACATTTAAAAATAATTGGTAACATTATATCAGGGCATATCAGATTCCTAGGAGTTCTATGCAATTTCTGGAACATTTATATTAATAATATATCCATTCAAATACAATCTAAGAAGATTAAGCATCCTCTTTACTTGATAATGTTTCCCATGCAATTTAACATTTGAAAAATCTATAGCTTAATGTC